AATCACTGATGAGATATTTCATTTAATATTCTAGATTCACCTAGATGCATTTTTTTTGATTATTCAGACCGAGTGGCATCAAAGTGAGCCCAGTTTTCGAGGATGAAGAGTGGGAAGAACCTGGTGACGAGGATGGTGTGAGCGACAACGGCGAAGACGGCGTCCCAGTAAAAGCGCTTTACGACTACGACGGGGTCGAGAAGGACGAACTTACTTTCAAAACCGGTATAATATTTCACCCGCGAAATTTTATGATGATTGCAAAAACAGGAAAATTGATATATCACCACAAATGTTCAAAGTAGGAATTATTTTTTTACAATTTCCTGAAAAATCATCGCGTGTGAGGCTTTAAAAACAGTGCTGTTGTACGATTGTATCACGTGTCCGAAAGCAAAAACTTGTCCTTTGTCGTGACCAACTTGACTCACTTCGGACAAGTGATGTACAACCAACGATCTCAAGATATCATTGAATTATTGCAACATCGTCTTTATGATATTCATGTCCGAAAGCTGATATTTCCTCCTTATTATCCTAAAATCCGTCATTTTGCATGAATAAAAACTTCTAAAAATCGGGGCCAAGAAAATCGGTATGCGGCTTTTCCAACTTTTCTGAAAGTCGGTCACGTAATCTATATTAGGGCAGGATAAAACGCAAAGTCAGTCAATGCTGTTGAAGTCGGTGGCGTATTAGAAAGTTATGTTCAAATAATAAAAACAGTCATGGATTAGAAAAAGTATTAGAAGAGCGGCGAATTTTCTTTTGCTAATCTTCCTTGCATAAGCTAAGTGTGGCTTTAAAGAATCTGTGCTGCTTATTCGCATGGGGAATTTTTTCAAGAGTAAAGAAGATTATTTTCATGTCAAATATGTCGAATAAATCGAAGAGCGAAGTAAATCGGGGTTGTGCAGGATGTACGCAATAATACTTTGAATTTCTTTCCTAGAAAATTAATGTAACCATTGTGATGCTGATCACTTTTTCCCCACAAATTCTTCTTTTTACAAGCTCATGAAACAGAATTGAAAAGAATTTCTTTCTGCTGCTCTTTTTGCGCGAGAAATATTCAGTGTAATTGATATTGACGAATCATGATTTCTGAAATAAAATAAAAATATAAGATTTATTTTCAACCTGACACATTTTTTTAAAAACATGATCGTTCTCAACGATGTGCTTGACTTTACAAATTTCTGTATAGTTTTATGTGGGTTACTTGAACTTTATTGCACTCGGACAGGTCAAAGGTTGAATATATTGAGTTAATTTGGTTCGGTTGTGGGATAATCTTGTTTGAATGGCTAATATCTCGTCAGATAAGGCAATTAAAAGCAAGTTGGGATAGTTTTTAGTCAGGTGTCAGGGAATCAGACTCCACCTAACTGACATATCCAAGCAACCGCGGATTTAAGTTCAACATGAAATAATTGAATTTTGGAAAAATAACTGCTGAATCTCCATCCTCAAATGTTGAATTTTCTTTGTCAATTTCAGGGCAAGTTTTCGAGAAATTAGAGGACGAAGATGAACAGGGTTGGTGCAAAGGGAGACTGGATGGTCGAGTGGGGCTCTATCCAGCAAACTATGTGGAAGTGCTATGAACCCGTTCAGCTCAAGTCACTTATCACCCATCAACGCCTTGCATTCCATTGCACATCTTATACCCATGTTTTTTTTTTTTTCGAGGACATTTTATTCAGTTCCTGGCTGTATTCTATTCTTTCTCTTATTTCTTCGCGGTTGCGTCCTTATTATTTATTTTACTATTACGTTCGGTTTCAAGGAGCTTTGTGCCAATTACCAAGGAAGGACGTCCGGCCTTTGTCTTTTTTTTTTCTCTCTTGGCGAATTATGCAAGGAATAAAGTTTTGAGTGTATGTGGAAAGAACGTTTGACTCGTTGAAGCGTATGCATATTTTAACATACAAACTGATTCACATCGAAAAGAACCTGCTGGCGAGTGTTGTAAGCAAATAACTAGTCCCTTTTGTTGGCTATGAGAGTGAGGAAAAATAAAAACACGTTTCCGAGAATAATGAGCTTTTTTTCCCCTGAATCACTTGAGAAATGGACAATGTTATCGTTACAATGCATGGTATTTTTTTTCAGGCGGAACATAAGTCCCCGTTTCAGCATGTTTGGTGTGTATAAAACCATCAGGAATTTCTTTGAATGCATAAGTTCGGTGGAGTATTTCAAAGCAGAATCTGGATTAACTAAATTAATTCAGTATTGCGTTCAATCGTTGCTGCACAGTTTTAATCATGAGCGGTCAGCAAAAAATAAAAAATAAATAAGAATATATATATCACGGGCTGGAAAGATCCCAAATATCCTCGTTAAAATCCTGTAATTTTCAGTTTTCTTTCGCCTCTCGGAGGAGATTATTTTTGTTCTTTCCTACATTTTTTCAACTTCCCGATCCGCTTTATTATGTCAATAAATTTAATTAATACGGTATATGCATTTCAATCTTGAAGTTTAGCGAATCAAGATTTTCCTTATTTTCCTAGTTGTGAAAATTAATCGTGTTTTGATCTTCATTTGGGCTTAAAATTCGCATAGAAACTCTTTGCGTAACAAACGCTGTCCTGAAACAAGTCGTCCGTCAGCGTGCTGCAGCTTGCATTCGTCTCCTCTGGATTTCTGATTGCCTTGATTGAAATTCGGTCACGATTAATGGAAGCCTTGATGATTGAAGTTCTGTAGTTGTATATTTCAATGCCTACAAAATGTAAATGAATAAATGACTGTATTTCATGAATCATTCAAAGAAGCGGGTGCTGGATGCATAGTAGACACACCGATACTTTACGCAACCCACCTTGCATATTATTTGATCACGTCTATGTAAC